TTTGTCCATATTTAAATATCATGTGACAAGTTTATGATAAATAATCATTAGCAATCTAGACACTGTATGCTTAAGAGACTATATAGAAACATATTCAATATACTCAGGGACCAAAATGATGCAATTGAAATATTGGGGACCAAAATGAGACAAATTTCATACTTTGGGAACCTCTAATACAATTAACCCTTAATTTTATATAAATGGTAAATGTTTTGACATGCCTTATCTAGAATACGACTCATTTGTTAAATAGGTCTGGCAGGTCTACTTATTTACACCCGAATTTAATAAGGGTTCATTCAAACCCATTTAACTCTATGTTAATTTGTGTTAATTAATTGCATTGGGTCGAATTTTGACTGACTTATATAAAAAATCAAAATAATAAAACATCAAGAAAATATTCAATGAAACGGTGATAAATAATAATAATATTCATGTGGTATGATCGATTTATATTAAAATACAAAATAGGCAGGGGAACTCAACTTAAATAAATATCCACTTACATAGATGAGCGAATAATTATTAATCTACGTGGAACATCAATTTGTTTATTTGTTTTGATATGTTTGGTCGATGAGGAGTAATGAATATTTTCTCCGCAACACCCCTCCCCGAGTAAATATAGCTCATAACTCTCCCTCTCCAACACGCACTGCCCGCGGTAATGGCGGGAAATCAGTTTTCCGCCGACGGTGTACCGGCAAGTTTCGCTGGAATGTCAAAGAACCAGCTATACGACATCATGTCGCAGATGCAGGTAATTCACTCGCTCGTTTTCCTTTTTCGGAAATGTGTCAACTTTCGCTGTCGTTTTCTTTTCCTCCAAACTCTGCTTTATCACCATGAAAAATGAAAGATAAAATTACATTCATCAAGTGAATATATTCTCATTGGTTTGGTATTCTCTTTGTACAGACTTTAATCGAACAGAACCAGCAGCAAGCGCGACAAATTCTAATCCAAAACCCTCTCTTGACTAAAGCTCTCTTCCAGGTCTGGTTATGCAAATTCTTCTTAATTTCTCTTTTTTGGCTTTGTCGGATACTCTTTCTTGTATTTGGATACCTAATTCATCTTCATAGTTTTCCGCTGCAAATGTCGCTAAAAAAATTAGGGTTTAAATTTTTTAAGGTGAGATTAGGGTTGAATATAGAGTTGAACTGTAGTAAATTTAAACTTTGTAATCGAAAAGTGAAGTACATTAATTGAACAATCTGTCATCTTATTGCTTGGCTTGATATGGTTTCAAGAGGCCTAAACCCTAAAAATGGTGAAGTTTTGGCCAATTATTTCGGCCTAAACTAATTTCCATTTAGAGAACGTACTCTATGGGCTATCGCTTAGTTCGATGTTAAAGCACACAATCCTCTTGATTTGGAACTCTACTGTGATTTTGCTTATCAAAAAGAAAGTTGGTCAGAGTATCAAGTGTGAGAATGTGGCTTTTAGTCTAGGATTACCAGCTTTTGGCCTTTTTTTGTTCTCTAATTTTCTTTTAATGCAGTTAGTGTACTCTTTGACATGCTTAGTTGGGTAAAGAAAACAGCCATAGTTTTAAAAATTGTTAGTTATGGTGTGTAACTGTCGTTGTGTAATAGTAACAGTAGTCACTGATTCTTGTTACACCCTGAATTTTTGGCATTATTTTTTTTTTAAACACTTGTAACAGATGATATGGGCCAAACTGGACTGATATGCCATGTGAATACAAAACCACTAGATTTGTTGGATTTTTTTCCTTCCATTTCAACATAATAATCAGATAACAACACCTACAAGAGTAGCCTCATTTCACGGATGACGATAACATCGTCGTTCAAGGTCTCAATGTTTATGTCAGCCTTGTCAGTGTTATTTAAGGTGTAAAGCGAATCGACGCGAACCAGTCTCTTGAGGGCCTAAAAGAGAAGCGAAGAGAGTGCTTTTTTGAAGCAAAGCGAACAACATAAAAAATAAGCAAATATTTTAGTTTCATATACTGTTACACGAATATTTTAGCAAATAAGCAAATATACTGTTACACAAATCAATCAATTTGTTTTATACATATACACAAATATACTGTTACACGAATCAACGAAGGCTTACTTCGCTTCGCTTCTTGCCTAGGCGCTCGCCTAAGTTCTCTTTTTACAACACCGGCCTTGTCAAAGTTCATGATGACTATGGTTTGAAGGGCATGTCATCCGACTTGATCTTGGGGTTCTATTCTCAATGGAGTTGCCATGGAAAAATGGAGTTGTAGGGACTTAGAGAAGATAGAGAATAGAAAAAGGTTGAGAATTCAAGATTCGAGTGAAGCCATTGAGGTGAGAGAGGGAAAGAGGGGAGAAGACAAGGAGGACTAGTAGTTGGAGTTAGAAGTCTAGAGGACTAATGACATTAATTTTATTCTTCGATTTATAATTCTCACTGTGGATTAAAGCAGTGAGGTTTTTTGGATTTCGTTTTTTTCTCTATTAGACCTTCTTAAGAATTGAGACCTTTACATTGCTTACATTGTGCTTGATTGTTCTAGGCCCATCTTCATTGAACTAATATTTGCTCACAGATAAGATTGATTCTGTGAGGCCCATAATTAAGGGGCTATTAATTTTTCTTTAAGTTAATGGGCTTACAATTTTTTACTTTCTTATAATTTTAAGTTTGCATAGAAATCATAAGATTTGGGCAACTTTGATCATTTTCAAGAGATTATATAACTATACACTCTATACAAACATATCTATATCATTTTTGTTATCAGTAAATATCCATATTGGCACGATTTTAGAGTTCAAACATGCATTTTCAGAACAAGTGTGAATTGGGAAAAAAAATTCACGCCTTTGGTTTCTGTTATTGTTACGTTACACCCGATACAATTTGTATCTTTTACACCATATTGTTACCGTTATGGTGGTAGTTATCGTTATTTAAAACTATGGGAATGGCACACATGCTTCAAGTCACGATCCTTGAGAGTATGTGGCTGATTCCTATCCAAAATATACGTGGCCTATATGCTTAAAATATGGTAAGGATTTACATCCCATTCATTTAGGATACGTTGGGGTTACTTCGGGATGAACATGTCATTTTTAATTCTTCAAAATTGGCTGTACTTGAAGTAATCAAAATAAATATTGTAAAAGCAAAAAAAATGGTATTTTGTTCCAGAAAAATATAATTTTGACCTCAAAATAGTTCACTATTCAGCTTGGTTTTTTTTTGAACCAGTTTCTTTTATAAAACGTTGTTGCCCTCATATTTAAGATTTTATCCATCTAAAAGTAAAAGCAATGACCAATTTTAATGATTTGTTACAATTTGTTATATTTGATATTTAGATGGGTTGTCCATTTATATACCTGAATAATGAAAACATTTTTCTTTATTTTTTGGTCAATTTATGGATTTTTAATATATGAATAATATCTAATTAAAATAGTGTACATATTAGATAATATCTATTCTATTTGAAATATACAGTGGATATGTTTACCTTTATATTATTTTTTTTAAACTACCTCTTAATCTTATAACATAGTACACGATATAAAAGAATGTGAAAATAAAATTATTTACTCAAGTATGTTGCTGTGACTTATTTTTTTAATTTTGTCGTATTAAGGTGCCTGTATCATACCCGCATTCCATATCTGTATCCATTCTTCTTAGTGTGATAAAATTTAAAAATGTTATGTGCTTATTTTAGGGGTTTTGGGTAATGATGATTGTGCAGTGGTAATTTTAACTTGCAATCCTCTTGTGCTGACTTACTTGAGTGGGCTCGTTGTGTATTTGTTGGAAATTTGCTTCTTCTCATATCCACTTGAGTGCAGTAGCCCCTAAGTTACAGGTGGCAATTGACGATAGATTGCCTACCCCAGCAATCTCGCCTCCGGTGTGTAAATTGGGTCTGGAGGCAAATGGGATGCGGGCTTGATTATTTAAGCCATGATGCCTCGCAGAGGTCTGCTCGCCCCATCGGGTACTAGAACTATCAACTGCAGCTAAGGTACTTGTATCCAACAAATACGACTGTAGGAGTGAGCTTATTACGCGGCTCAGAAGAATGCCCTAACAAGCCCTGTGCCACTTTACTTTCACCTTATTTCAAGTTTTTTTGAGAAATAAGAGGTACACAAAGAAGCATAACTAGAATAATTATTCTTGACATGATTCAGATCTTTTATGAATCCTTCCCCCCTGTCCCCCATGCAAACAAAGAAAAGGGGGAAAAATCTTTAGTTACCTTCTAAGAACTTTCTGTAAAATGTGATGGATGGCTGTATTGTTTGTTTATATATTTCAAGTTCTATGCATCATATGGTCGTGGGACATGATTTAGTTTTTGGGATACAACTCAGTTTTAATTTCTTTTTGATTATCAACAAAAACTTTTCATTAACCGTGAAAAAGTATTACACAGGGGAAGAGAAATCCTTTAAAAAAACACATTTGTTGAAATTTCTAGGGTTATTGATGATCTTTTTGAGATGTGAACAATTGGCATTAGTTTAAGATATTTTTTCTGGTAAGTTAGTTGAAAATATTTTATTTACTATCTAGCATAGTTGCTCTAGCCTGTGGTGGGATTTGATTATATGAATGATTTAGTTGAGAATTCAGCAGGTCTGAATGAACTTTCTTGAGTTAGCGTCTAAGAACTTTATGATAAGTAACTAAGTTGGGAGTTCATTACATGAAAAGAAAAATGTTGAACTTAATAATTCAATAACTGAACTTTATATTATGTGTTAAGATGTCATGATAATTTATCTGCACTGTTTTATTGCTTTGGTGCAACACTGAAGGTGTAGGAATCTGTTAAAATATGCATTATTTTTTGGATACACTGAATTTAGGACTGGACCAGTATGGTTGTTAACTGATGGCTGTGGTAGATACTGCTTTTATGAGGATATTATTATTTTCTTTGATCATTATTTCTTATTGCTATTGCTTCTTTTGCTACTGACATATATGTTCCAATTCTTGTGTCCATTAGGCACAAATTATGCTTGGAATGGTGCAGCCCCCTCAAGTGGTTTGTTCTTTTGTCCTTAAAGCTGTTTTCTTATACATATTGAGTGCATCTGTGTGAGAATAATTTCAAGCTGTGTTTAGGTTCCAAACATCCAGCCGGCAGCATTACAACATCCTCAGCAATCAGCACAGCCAATTCAGCAGTCAAATAGTCAATCTGCTCCTTCATTGCCAGGCCAATTTGGTTCACAGGACCAAACAAGTGCATCCCAAACCCTTAATCCTGTGAGAAAGCAGCAGCAGACCCAACCTGTGATACCAAGCTCATCTGCTTCTGGTCCTCCAAACCTTCAATCACAGCCCTTGCTGTCACATTCTTTGCAGTCGGTACAGGAGCCTAAGGGTCATCTTAATGTGCAGTCAGCACCAATGTCGCTTCCACAATCCTCACAAGTTCCTAATATGCCTTCTCTTCCACTTCATTCTGCCTCACAGGCACCCTCACTTCAACTCCCAATACCACCTGCTTTGCAACAGTCTATACAGACAAGTGGCATTCCCCATCTACCCCTACAACCCCCACTACCTCCACAACCAAGATTAACTTCAATGCCAGCGTTCCCTCATCAGCATCACTCTCAGATGGGTTCACATTCAGGTTTTCAGCACTCTGGTGCAGCACAGCTGCATCATTCACAGTCTATGTTTCATGTAAGATGAAAACACGAGGTTAAATAATCAAATGTTTGTGCATGAAAAAAATTGTGAAATTTTATTATCAATTTAATTTTAATTGTTCAGCCAGGTTCAAGACCTCCACCTAGCATGGGGCCTTTATTTTCGCATGGACAGCCACCACTTCCAAGTCAGCTGCCACCCCAGTCTATGTATCAGGTATGCATGTACTTCTCTTGCTGCTTCAGTAAATTTGACCATGCTATGTTGCTATGGAGTCTAGCCAGGCTGGCTAGCTTGATGAACACCTAACTCTTGTTGATTTCAGTAGGGATTTTGATGAACTCATGGTCTGTACTTGAATTTATGCTGCTACATAGGTGATTGACAATGGCCAGTTTATGCTGCATGTATAAACATGCTTTGCATCTTCCCTGGATTGAAGTGCTCATTATAATGAATTTGTGTTTCTTGCAAAGAGTGATGGCACTTTGAATTTTGAATAAACAAATTAACAATGTTGGAGTTGAATGTGTTGGGCCTGTTGGCAACTTATTCTGCAGGGAAATAGGGTGCTAAGTTTCTTTGTTACTGTGCTGAGGTGATGATTATGTACCGAGTCATTTTCACACCTCTCTAAGCACATTGTAGTAGGTTTGATACTTTATATAGATCAATGCAAAGAGAAATTGGGATGAAAGTAGAAGAATAAAGAGGACGAGAAGTGAAGAATGGAATAAGAAGGGAAGGAGATTTTGGCAAACGCCTTTGGCTGAAAATAAATAAGTACCAACTAAAGTGAAATCTTGATAGTAGGAATAAAGTCAACAATCCCAGAGGGAAAAGACTTGGAAACAAAGTTAGGTTGAATTGGAATAGTAGACACAAATCAATCACCAAAAGATTCAGAAATAGGTAACTCAATATGCTCGACATCTTGACAGACTTTTCAGCAAGTTCCAGTACAAGTGGTGACTTAACATTTGACTCCGGCAAAGGCTAATGCATTTTCTTTAGGATTGACTCTTGTTGGTATGAAAGAGGTGAACTCTGATCCGATGAAATTAGACAAGGGGATTGGTAGTCGACATGAGTAACATCTCTCTCTTTATGTGAGAGTGTGTCATCAAGATCCATGGTCACCTCAAATTAGGAACACATGCAGAAACAACATGGACATTAGTGTTATTTAAGGCGTAAAGCGAACCGAAGTGAGTGCTCCATCGAACAAGAGTCTCTTGAGGCCTAGGCGAGAGGCGAAACAAGCGTTTCAGTGAAGCGAAACGAACAGTAAAAAAAATTAAATATTTTAGTTTAATTACTTCTAAATATTAAAGTTCTAAATTTACAAATACTAAATATTAATCAATCAACTTAAAACAACTAAGTTATGTGATCTTCTTCACAAATAAACAATTACAGAATTTAATAAATCAGAAATAGAAACAAACACAGTAGAACCAGAATCAGAAACATAAATAGAAGCAAAATTAGAGTCCTAATAGAAGCAAAATGAGAAGCAGAAACATAGATTTCTAGAATCAAAGGTCCAACAAAAATAAAAACAGAAACACAATTCCAGCCAAAAAAAAAAAACAGAAGCAGGAAGCAGCAGAACCAGAACTAGAAGTAGAATCACAGTTGGTAAGTATTTTTTTCGATAATTGATAAATCAGTAAGAGAAACAAAATTCTAACTGAAGCAAAATCAGAAACAGAAATACAAAATCCCAGAATCAAAGTTCCAACAAAGTCAGAGAGCAAAAATAAAAACAGAAATACAGAATCACAGCCAAATAAAACAAAAGAAACAGAACAAGCTGAGTTAGAAGAAGAAGAAAAAAAACACATGAATTAAAAGAAGTAGAAGAAGAAGAGAAGAGGAGAATAAGAAGAGAAAAAAATTAACATGCCTGTCGGGACTTCTCTCCAAGAAGATAGAAGTAGTAGTAGAAATAGATTTGGAATGTGTTTTGTCAAAGAAGAAGAAGAGAAAGAGAGAAGAGGCAAACTTGGGTTGTGTTTTTTGTGACTCTCAAGACTCCACAATCTCTTCAGATGTGTTTTTTGTCACCTATCCTCGCTTCGCCTAGATTGTCCAAGGTGACCAAGGGTTGCTTCTCTTCTCTTCTCGCCTAAATGCTGTCCTTGGCTCGCTTTTGAAAACATTGAAAGACATCGTTCAAGTAATCATGATACTCATAGATGATGGAGTTAAAATCCGAAGGTGTCCTATCTAGCTGTTAAGAATAGTGTGATTGAGAACCCATCAAAACTACCATTAGATTTCCTATCAAATCTTTCAACCTTACGCATAGTCCCCTAGGTTGGGGTCCTCGCTTCTCCAAACATTGACTATGTTAATATTTTGTTCCTGGTTTAATAGTTGCTTTTGCCACGTGATGCTTTCGTTCTCTTTTGGGCTCAACCTAGTCTCTACTTTAGTGTTGGTTTTTTTTTTTTGGGAACTGGTTGTATGTTCTTTGCCCTTTGTTTTGGTTCTTTTCCTCTTCTTTTTGGAGATGAGGTTTCTTCAACGGTATTATTTCGATGTCCAATATTGAGAGAGAAGGTAGCTGCATTTTGTCTATTTCTTGGAACCTATAGCTTTGCGAGCATATCGATAGATCTCATCTAACGTGTCAAAAGAGTACAGTTTAACCTCATTGATTTTTGGTCTCAACCCATGAATGAACTGATCAATAGTCCAGAGTTACTCGTCAATGTCACCGAAGTTCATCATATAATCAAATTGAGCAAAATAATCAGTGACACTGCAAGAGTTTTGTCTTAGATTGTGCCATTAGTCATAAACTTGATTCATGTATATTTCTCTTTCAATTTATGCTTCATTTCAACCCAAGTGATAGGTGATTTTCTTAAGCGGTCTAGGCTCATTTGGATTCCTTGCCAATAATACTTGACAGAATTCTCCAACATCAATTTAGCAAAACGGACATAATGAGAATTTGACATACCATGCCAATCGAAATATGCATCTAAATTAACTAACCAATTCAAGAATTGGTTGGGATNAAAAAAAAAAAACAGAAGCAGGAAGCAGCAGAACCAGAACTAGAAGTAGAATCACAGTTGGTAAGTATTTTTTTCGATAATTGATAAATCAGTAAGAGAAACAAAATTCTAACTGAAGCAAAATCAGAAACAGAAATACAAAATCCCAGAATCAAAGTTCCAACAAAGTCAGAGAGCAAAAATAAAAACAGAAATACAGAATCACAGCCAAATAAAACAAAAGAAACAGAACAAGCTGAGTTAGAAGAAGAAGAAAAAAAACACATGAATTAAAAGAAGTAGAAGAAGAAGAGAAGAGGAGAATAAGAAGAGAAAAAAATTAACATGCCTGTCGGGACTTCTCTCCAAGAAGATAGAAGTAGTAGTAGAAATAGATTTGGAATGTGTTTTGTCAAAGAAGAAGAAGAGAAAGAGAGAAGAGGCAAACTTGGGTTGTGTTTTTTGTGACTCTCAAGACTCCACAATCTCTTCAGATGTGTTTTTTGTCACCTATCCTCGCTTCGCCTAGATTGTCCAAGGTGACCAAGGGTTGCTTCTCTTCTCTTCTCGCCTAAATGCTGTCCTTGGCTCGCTTTTGAAAACATTGAAAGACATCGTTCAAGTAATCATGATACTCATAGATGATGGAGTTAAAATCCGAAGGTGTCCTATCTAGCTGTTAAGAATAGTGTGATTGAGAACCCATCAAAACTACCATTAGATTTCCTATCAAATCTTTCAACCTTACGCATAGTCCCCTAGGTTGGGGTCCTCGCTTCTCCAAACATTGACTATGTTAATATTTTGTTCCTGGTTTAATAGTTGCTTTTGCCACGTGATGCTTTCGTTCTCTTTTGGGCTCAACCTAGTCTCTACTTTAGTGTTGGTTTTTTTTTTTTGGGAACTGGTTGTATGTTCTTTGCCCTTTGTTTTGGTTCTTTTCCTCTTCTTTTTGGAGATGAGGTTTCTTCAACGGTATTATTTCGATGTCCAATATTGAGAGAGAAGGTAGCTGCATTTTGTCTATTTCTTGGAACCTATAGCTTTGCGAGCATATCGATAGATCTCATCTAACGTGTCAAAAGAGTACAGTTTAACCTCATTGATTTTTGGTCTCAACCCATGAATGAACTGATCAATAGTCCAGAGTTACTCGTCAATGTCACCGAAGTTCATCATATAATCAAATTGAGCAAAATAATCAGTGACACTGCAAGAGTTTTGTCTTAGATTGTGCCATTAGTCATAAACTTGATTCATGTATATTTCTCTTTCAATTTATGCTTCATTTCAACCCAAGTGATAGGTGATTTTCTTAAGCGGTCTAGGCTCATTTGGATTCCTTGCCAATAATACTTGACAGAATTCTCCAACATCAATTTAGCAAAACGGACATAATGAGAATTTGACATACCATGCCAATCGAAATATGCATCTAAATTAACTAACCAATTCAAGAATTGGTTGGGATCCAAAGTACCACTAAATGTAGAAGGATCTTTGATTTATTTGGCCATAGGTATTGAATCCTTGTATACATAACTAAACTTACTATGCTGATCACCTTCGGAGAGCCTCTTAAACTGGAGTGAATATGTGAATTATAGGCATTATAGATACTCACGAGTGACTCTTGGAACAAGGGAATGACACCAAAACAAGTTTAAGAATACAATTGACAAAATGATTTGGACCCTCGGCAAATTTTCTAATGAATAAAAATATTAGTCTCAGATTTCTATGGTGGTATCCATACCATAATGAAGTTTTATTATGATGAAATTTTGAAACTTTTAGGGCCATATTGCAATTTTTGAAACTTCTGATGGATGATTCTACAACTTTTTAGAGGTAGATTCTATAATTTTTAGAACTTATGAGCAGCTCTGTAATTTTTGGAAACCTATGGGGATGTGTTTGCATTTTTCGGATCTGATGGGGCCACTTCCTATAATTCTGAAACTTCTAGTTTAAACCTGTTAATATCTTCTTCTTTTTTTTTTTTGGGCCGAAGGGTGAAATGGGATTGGTTGTCGAAGGATTTTAGAATGGGTTTACCGGTTTTCGTCAGGCACAACAAAATGGGTTGGGTTGATTTTGGAATGAGCTTAACTTGGGTTAAAAGGCTTGGGCTTTGGATAGGTTGAAGGGGTTAAGGTAATGTAGTGACTAGGTGTTACCCCCTTAGCTTGTTGGCGGCATTGGCATAGGACAGCCTTGCCCAAAGGCGCCCATGCCTTAGCCAAAGTGGCAGAAGTCCCATGCATGGCTAAGGAAGGCAGTCTATGCTCATGGGCACAAGCCAGCATGCAAGCAA